AATAGACAGGGCAGTGAAGAAGGCTTTTGGCACACTGGCCTTCATCAGTCAGGGCACTGAGTATAAAAGTTGGGAAGATATGATGCAGTTGTGCATGATGTTGGTGAAGCCGCACTTGGATTATTGTGTTCAGTTTTGGTCACCTGGCTATAGGAAGGATGTTATTAAACTGGAAAATGTCCAGGAGAAATTTACCAGGATGTTGCCAGAACTGAAGGGACTAAATTATAAGGAGAGGTTAGACAAGCTAGGACTTTTTCATCAGAGTGTAGGAGATTGACCGAGGATCTTATAGAAGTGTTTAAGATCATGAGAGGCATGGATAGGGTGAATACACTCAGTCTTTTTCCCAGGGTTGGGGAATTGAGGACTAGAGGGCATCAGTTTAAGGTAAGAGGGGAAAAAATACATGGAAACTTGAAGGGCAACTTTTTTTAACGCAGAAGGTGGTACGCATGTGGAATGAGCTGCCAGCGGAAGTGGTTGAGGCAGGTACATTAACAACATTTAAAAGGCATTTGGAAAAATACATGGATAGAAAAGGTTTAGAAGGATGTGGGCCAAGTGCAGGGAAATGGGGTTAGTGTGGATGAACATTTTGATCAGCACAGACCAATTTGTGTCAAAGGGCCTGTCTCCATGCTGTAGGACTCTATGACTCTATCTGTCAATACAAATTCACCCTGCGTGTGTGTGTGTGTGTACGTGTGTGTGTGTGTGTGTGTGTGTACATGATAGAGAGAGAGAGAGAGAGAATGAGCGTGTGTGAGAGAGTGTGTATGTGTGAGAGAGGGTGTGTGTATGAGGGAGAGAGAGGGAGTGAATGTATGTATGTATGTGGGAGACAGAGGGAGAGTGTGTGTGTGTGTGTGTGTGTGTGTGTGTGTGTGTATGGGAGAGAGAGAGAGAAACTGTGTGTGCGTGTGTCTGTCTGTGTGTGTGTGAGGGGTGGAGAGAGACAGAGAAAAAGTGTGTGTGTGCGCGAGAGTGTGCGCGAGAGAGAGTGTGTGCACGAGAGTGTGTGTGTGTTTGTGTGGGAGAGAGAGTGTGTGTGTGTTTCAGTGGGGGAGCATTTTGGGAGTAGTGATCATAATACTGTGAGTTTTAAGATACTCGTGAATGGAGATAACAGCGGTCCTTGGATGAAAGTGTAAAATGTTGGGGGGAATGTGAACTATAACAATATTAGGCGAAAACAAGAAAATTTTGATTGGATGTGGCTGTTTGAGGGTAAATCTAGATCAGACAGTATTTCAAATAGCGAGTGATAAGAGTTCAGGATTGGCTCATTCTTGCAGAATAAAGGATAGGTATGGTAAGTTACATGGACCTTGGATGAGCAGAGATGTTATGGTCAGAAAGAGAAAGGAAACGTACATAAAGTCTAGGATGATGGGAATTGACAAAGTCCTTGAAGTATATAAGGAAAGTAGGAAAGCACTTAAACAAGGAATTAGAAGGGCTAAAAGGAGTCGTGAAAACTTGTTAGCAAAAAGGATCAAGGAGAATCCCAAGGCTTTTTATATACATAAAGAAAAAGCAAAAGGGTAGCCAGGAAAAGGGTTGGCCCACTCAAGGACAAAGGATGGAATCTATATGTGGAGCCAGAAGAGGTGGTGAGGTCCTAAACCAATACTTTGTGTCGGTATTCACTAAAGAGAAGGAATTGATAGAGGATGATCTCAGGGAAGGGAGTGTCCAGTGTCAAAGCCAAGTTGCTGTTAAAAAGAAAGAGGTATTGTGTGTCTTAAAAAAGTATTAAGGTAGATACCAGGTCCTGATGGGATCTATTCCAGAATATTGAGGGAAGCAAGAGGACAAATTGCTGGAGTACTGACAGACATATTTGTATCTGCTTTGGCCACAGGTGAGGTCCCAGAGGACTGGAGAATAGCCAATGTTGTCCCATTGTTTGTAGCAGAAGTGTAGCAGGGATAATCTAGGAAATTACAGGGCAATGAGACTCATGTCGGTGGTAGGGAAATTATTGGAAAAGGTTCTTAGGGAGAAGAACTACATGAATTTAGAAGCAAATGTATTTATTAGCGATAGACAGCATGGTTTTGTGTGGGAGGGAGCATGCTTCACTAACTTGATCAAGTTTTTTGAGAAGGTGACAAAGATGATTAATGAAGGAAAAACAGTTGATAGCCTTCAGTAAAGCCTGTGACAAGGTCCCTCATGGCAGATTGGTACAAAAAGTGATGTCACATGGTATCAGGGGTGAGCTGGCAAGATGGAGACAGAACTGGCTTAGTCCTAGGAGACAGAGGGTAGAGGTGGAAGGATGCTTTTCTGAATGGAGGGCTGTGACTAGTGGCGTTCCATGGGGATTAGGGCTGGGACCTCTGTTGTTCATGGTCTACATAAATGATTTGGAGGAAAACATAGCTGGTTTAATTAGTAAGTTTGAGGACAATACAAAGATTAGTGGAGTTGTGGATAGTGAGGACGGTTGTCAGAAGATATAGCAGGATATAGATCAGTCGGAGGCATGGGCAGAAAAGTGGCACGTGGAGTTTAATCTGGACAAATGTGAGGTGATGCATTTTGGAAGATCAAGTACAAGTGGGAATTATACAGTGAATGGCAGAACCATTAGAGTACTGGTATGCAGAGGGATCTTGGTGAGCAGGTCCACAGATCACTGAAGGTGGCTGCACAGGTAGATAAAGTAGTAAAAAAAAGGCATATGTCATGCTTGCCTTCATTGGAAGGGGCATTGAGTATAAGGATAGACAAGTTATGCTGCAGCTTTATAGAACTTTAGTTAGGCCACACTTGGAATATTGTGTACAGTTCTGGTTACCACACTACCAGAAGGATGTGAATGCTTTGGAGAGAGTACAGAGAAGGTTTACCAGGATGTTGTCTGGTATGGGAGATTTTAGCTATGAAGAAAGGTTAGATAGACCGGGTTTGTTTTCACTAGATTGCAGGAGGTTGTGGGGTGACCTGATGGAAGTTTATAAGATGTGAATGGCATGGAAAGAGTGGAAAGTATGAAGCTTTTTTCCAGGGTGGAGGGGTAAATTACTAGGGGACCCAGGTTTAAGGTGCGAGGAGGGAAGTTTAAAAGAGATGTTCAAGGCAAGTTTTTCACACAAAGGGTGGTGAGGGCCTGGAACACGCTGCCAGAGGAGGTGGTGGAAGCAGACACAATAGCAGCATTCGGAAGCACCTGGATGAATACACGAATTGAAAGGGAATAGAGGGATACAGATCCTGTAAGTGAAGACAGTTTTAGTACGGAAAAGCGAAATTTAGCGGCACAGACCTGAAGGGCCAAAGGGCCTGTTTCTGTGCTGTATTGTTCTTTGTTCTTTTTTGTTCTTTGTTTATACTCCAGTCTCTTTGAAATAAAGTCCAACTCTCTTGACTAGTACTGCTGAGGTCCTCCTACCTCCTGAGGGAAGTGGTAGTGTTATGGTATTATCTCTGGACAATAATTCTAATGTCCTGAGGACCTGGATTGAAATCCCACTATGGCAAATGGTGGAATTTGAATTAAGAGTTTCAGAATAACTATAAACCCATTGTCGGTAAAAGTATGTTCTTTAGGGAAGGAAATCTGCCATTCTTACATGGTCTGGCATGCATGTGACTCCAGACCCACAGCAATGTAGTTGACTCTTTAATGTAGTTGTGCTCTGAGCAGTGAGGAGTGAGCAATAAGTGCTGGCCTGGCCAATGACACACACCCTGTGAATGAATAAATTAAAAAAAGTGTGGAATTAGCATCTTCTTTGGTCTATAAACATAACAAAGTTCAAAGCCCTTATTGCTCCTAGACTCATTGCCTCCAAACCTGAGATGAGGAAAGATGAAGAGAACATGATTTTTTATAAGTAGATGTAAATACCCACCATCCATTCCCCATTGTATAGCAACAGCTTCCAAATTTGACATATTTATGTGGATAATGAAAATGTTAATCATGTGACCTCAATGACAAAGAAATGACTTCAGAAACTAATCTTACTTATTTCAAGAAACAGGAAGGAATAGACAGCATGAAAGAGCCCTGTATGTCTCTTGCTCTCTCTCTCCATCAATTTTTACAAGCTCGAACCTTATCTTTTTGCATTATCCATGTACCATGCACGCAGATATTTTTAAAGATCTAAATCCAACAGCTGTTGTTTCCGGAAGCAAGGATAAATAATCCACATGCATCATTAAACTACCTCAATGTTTAGTTGCCTCTCAACATCCCTACCCACGCCACTCACCACCCCCCCTCCCCATGCCCCCACTGTGGTTTTTGCTTCGGTTTGCTCTTAATACAGCTGACTATTTTTTGCTATTAACATCTTTTTGTTTAATCTATGTCCTTTGTCTACTACCATCAGCACTCTCTTTTTCTATTGTTCTGTGACGTCTTAACCATCTATCCCCTCTGCTTTCTACAGCATAAAATCCATCACTTTTCCAGCTACCTTCAGTTCTAAAGAAGTAATATTGAACTCAAAATGTTAACTCTGTCATTGTCTCCACTGATGCAGTCAGACCTGTTGAGTTTCTCCAGCGGTTCCTGTTTTATTTCACTTCAAACATTTTTAATACTTTAAAATTATTGCTTAATTTATTCTCCCACTTTGTTATCTCTCTTTGAATGTGTGAACGTGAGTGTTTGTGTGTGTGAAATTTGGAATATTTCATTATTTTATTTAGACTGGATTCATCATATGAAATACAGGAATGGGAAAAGAGGGGAGCCATCCTCTGCCTCCTCATCTAATCATAACAGTGTATATTGTGCCAATTTCCATAGATTGCCAGGAGATACATTGCAAATACATGAAGTTCTTCTCTCCTCAAACTACTACATCTGTGCTTTCGTTGTGCTACTTCATCAATTAACTTCAAACCAGTTTAAACTCCAGTTCACATCAGTAAACTACACTGCACCTGCCTTCATAATATATCTATAATTTAGAATTCAGTTGCTGTCATTTAGTAATCACTTGATTGAGTGACAATGTTGTTTTTGTTTACAGATGACAAGGGAACAATATATCTTGGCAACGCAACACAACAACCTACAGAGACCTGAAAATCAACAAGTTTATCAAGTAGGAATTTATGGTTGGCGAAAGCGGTGGCTATACTTTTTTGTGCTCCTCCTAATGGTGACAATGATTGTCAATCTTGCATTGACAATATGGATATTGAAAGTAATGAAATTCTCTGTGGTAAGTGCCTGTTGACTCAAGACTTTGGGTTTTTCAGTTTCCTGTAGCAGCTTTAGTGAAATCTATAGGATGTGTATAATAGATTGGATATTAGAGGTAACTGACAATGGTCCTCAACCATACATTTCTGTAGATTGTCAATAATTTTATAAGCTTTAGAGATGGAAATTAAAGTTTATGTTATACTTGTTAATTAGCTTTAATGACAAGCAATTCCTTTAGTATGCATAGAGGAGATTTGATCTAGTAATCGCATGGTAATTTACCTGTACTATCTCGAGAAAATTCTTTCATAATTGCATCTATATCTTCAAGCATAGCTATCAATATTCAATTTACTCTTAACATTGTTTTTGTTCTCCTTGTATTGGAAATGACTGCTTATACTTGGCCACAATTCTCGGATATGTGACCATGCTCATGTGCGGTAGCTAAGATTTTGCAATCATTTCCATTCACTTGATGCTGCTTATAATTACTTTAGGTGTTAAAATGTAAGCTATTGAAAATCTAACAGAGAGACCATTTTATGCAACCTCGACAAGGAATATTTTAAAACCACTCCTGCCTGCTCAGAACTGTGCAGGCTAGAGTGGTTGGGAGAGGTTAAGATAACGGGGATGGAACTGAAGATCACATTAAGTACCATCGCATTCACAGCAACATCTATCTTACTTAACTTGAAATAGCTGCCTGTTGAGCCACAAATTTAATAGCATTTGACTACTACACCATCAATTTCTTCCCTGAGTTAAAATCAGGAATGGTGAAGGATGCTAACATTCCAAAAATATTACACCTGTACATGCTACTGCCTTTGTAAAATTAAATGACAGCATTGGAGATAATGAAGTAGAACCCAACATCTCGTGACTGTTCAAATAACATCTCGAGTGAATTGACAAACAAAGCAGAGAATGTAATTTTACCAAGAAATTTGGCAACCAAATGTAATTTTGACAGCTGCAGGCAACCAAAACCTGCTGTACTGGGATAATTTGTGATATGTATCATTAGTTAAATGCTAGCTGCATATTCTGCTTTGAAGAAATTAGCTTTGTACATTACTGGAGCTGGTTAATGGATTATTCACTCTGCTTCATGTTTGAACGTAGTTTACTTTTGAAGGAGGTTCCTCTTTGATACAAACGGTATGCATTATTTAGTTTAATTCAATTAAGTTTGCCTTGTGCTGGTGATGAATAAAGTACCTCACAGTCTATCCAAAACAGGTATATTTTTCTTTTCTTATTAATTCAGTAGACGTGGACATCACTGGCTGAGCCAGCATTTATTGTCCATCCTGAGCTGTCCTACAGCACGTGTTGGTCTGCCTTTTTAATCACTGCAGTCCATTTGCTATAGGTAGATCCACAATAGCATTACGCGGGGAGTTCCAAAATTCTGCCCTGCAAATGGTGAAAGAACAATGATATATTTCCAAGTCAGGGTGGTGAGTGGCTTGGAGGGAAGTTTACAAGTGGTGATGTTTACGTTTATCTGCTGCCCTGTCCTTTAAGATGGAAGTGAACATGGGTTTGGTATTTGCTGTCTAAGGAACCTTAGTAAATTTCTGCAGTGCATCTTATGGATGATACACACTGCTGTTACTGAGCATAATAATGGTGAGAATGGATGTTTATGGATGCTTTTCTCAGGCTGACATCAAACTTCTTCACTGTTGGAGTTGCACTCATCCAGACGAGTGTATAAATTATGACTCCTGACCTGTGTCTGGTGGACAGGTCTTGCAACGATGAGTTATTCACTGAAAGATCCTTAACCTTTAACCTGCAATTATCCCGGAGGCGAGTCATAGGCTGGAGTCCAGAGCAGGAGGCAGTCCGAGTCCTGGAGATGGGTCGCGGAACAGAGCCTGGTGCGCGAGGCAGTGCAAGACCAAGCCAGCCTGGGAGACAGGTCCTGGAAGCAAGTCGCGGCTGGAGGACAGTGCTTGGAGGCAACAAGTCCTCGTGTTCTGAAGCTCAGCGGGCATGGACTCAGTGACAAGGATTATAATTTGTGTATTCTTTAAAGATACCTTTTATTCTGGACTTCAAGTAATTTGAGTACTTTTTAATTCTTTGTATTCCTATGCTAGACTATTTTGCTTTTCCTCTTTCAATTCTGTAACAAACACTTAAAGTATCTGTACCTCGGTACCCTGTACTCTTTCAAGTGCACGTGACAATAAAGGCTATTCTATCCTATTCTATCACCACAGTATTAATATATTCAGTTTCTGCTCAATAGTAACATCCAAGATGTCGATAGTGGGAGATTCAGTGGTAATGCCATTGAATGTCAAGGGGTGATGGTTGGATTCTATTTGGTTGGAGACGATTGTTGTCTGGCATTTGTATGGAGAGAAATCTGAGTTAATGCTTCAGGTCCGGTGACCCTTCCTCAGAACTGATGGTAGCTAGGAAAATGTTTTTTTTATGCGGAAGATAGGGTGAGGGGGAGGGGATAAGGAGGAAATGATAAGTGATTAGGGATACAGCCCAAAGAGGGAGAAGAACACTCTGGATAGGAGGGTGAGTAGTTGTTAATAGAGACTGTTAGTGGCTAACAATGGGTTGTGTGTAATAACAGACTATGTGATTGCAAGGCCTGGCATATGGGGATGGGGGCTAGGACATAGGAGAGTTCAAGTTATTGAACTCAATATTGAGTCCAGAAGGCTGCAGGGTCCCCAGGTGAAAAATGAGGTGTTGTTCTTCCAGCTTACACTGAACTTCACTGGAGTACTGCAGCAAGCTTGAGACAGAGATATTGGTCATGGAACCAGGTGGTGTGTTGAAGCGGCAGGCAACTGGAAGCTCAGGTTCATTTTTGCAGGCAGAACACAGGTCACTCAGTCTACACTTTGTTTCCCCAATGCAATGTGAAGGAGACCACATTGTGAGTAGACTAGGTTATGTGAGGTGCAGGTAAAGTGCTGCTTCACCTGGAAGGTATATTTTGGCCCTTGGATACTGAGGAGGGAGGAGGTAAATAGGTCAGTGTGACAGGTTCGGTGATTGCAGGAAAAGTGCTTTGGGACTGTGGAGGGGTGGTGGGAGTGAACAAAAAGTGGACCAGGGTGTCCTGGAGGGAATGGTCCCTGTGGAAGGTGGACAAGGAAGAGGAAGACAATATGTACCTGGGGGTGGCATCTCGCTGGAGCTGGCAGAAATAGCGACTAATGCTTCTCTGGATGTGGATGCTGGTGGGATGGTATGTAAGGACAAGGGGAACCCTATTGCTGTTGCAGGAGGGAAGAGAAGGGGTGAGGGCAGAAGTGCAGGAGATGGGTCGGATCCGGTTGAGGCCCTGTCAACAATGGTGCTGGGGAGTCCTCGGTTGAGGAAGAAGGTGGATATTTCGAAGCTGCCTTGTCAAAGTTAGCATCATCAGAATAGATGCGATGGAGACGGAGGAACTGGGAGCCATTAACAGTCTCTATTAAGAGCTATTCACCCTCCTATTCAGATCATTATCCACTCCTTTATCTGTCCAACTGTTCTTCTCCTTCTTTGGCCTCTCTCCCCAGTCACCTATCATTTACTCCCTCGCCCCTCTCCCCATCCAATCTTCTGCATAAAATGCAACACTTTCCTAGCTACCATCAGTTCTAAGGAAGGTCACTCGACCCAAAACGTTAACTCTGATTTCTTTCCACAGATGCTGCCAGACCTGCTGAGCTTTTCCAGCAATTTCCGTTTTTGTTCCTGATTTACAGCATCTGCAGTTCTTTTGGTTTTTATTTGGATTGTCCAGACCTTGTTGCCCTTGGAAAAGGACTGCTTCAGTATCTGAGGGGTCGTGAATGATGCTGAACATTGTGCAATCATCAGGGAAAATACCCATTTCTGACCTTGTGATGGAAGATCACTGATGAAACAGCTGAAGATAGTTGGGCCTTGGATACTACCCTGAGGATGTTGATGTCCTCAAGCTGAGATGACTGATCTTCAACACTACAACCATTTTGCTTTGTGCCAGGTATGACTCTAACGATCAGAGAATTGTCCTCATCATTCCCATTAGCTCTAGTTTTGCTAGCGCTCCTTTATGCTGCGTTTAATTAAACGCAGCCTTGATGTCAAGGACAGCCACTCTCACCTCACCTCTGGAATTCAACCCATGTTTGAACCAAGACTGTAATGTGGTCAGCAGCTGAGTGGCCCTGGCAAAACCCAAACTAAGCGTCAGTGAGCAGATATTTGCTAAACAAATGCTGCTTGATAGCAGGATCAGGGACACCTTTAATCACTGCACTGATTATCATTTATCCTAGGTTTGAAGTGAAATGTTTGTAATTTTCCTGGTCAGCGTGCCTAAGACATTAAAGTGCAATTCTTTGACTATAGCCTATGTCTAACTGGCTTTGCTTCCATATTGAACCACAACTATTATAGTTCAAGAACCTATTGCATTGGGACACATTCATCCTTTTTCTTGTACTGCATAGATCAGGAGAAATTCAATGTTTTCCCCGAGGTGGGTTTGGAAACACGGTAATGTTTAATTGTGCTGGATAGTGCAGTGTTGGGACCCTGTCACCCTTGTCACCCCTGCCTCGATTAACTTCATGAAGAGAAGGCTGGTTGATGGCCCTCCTATCCTGATGCCAATTGAAACCCATAGCAATAACTATTACACTAGCAGTAGATGGGGCAGTGAGCTCTACTTCTGATCTTGGGGTGAGGGCAGAAGGGGGAATCTCTTTCTTGAAGACACTCTGTCCCTGAGTGAGTTCCCAGCATCAAAAGTTTGAGAGGGATGTGGTTCTTGGAAAACCGGTTCTGTATCCTTCCCCTAAAACCCCTGACACTCCCATACCAGCAAACCACTCCCCATGACCCTCATCCTACATTCACTTGCCTGTGATCCTTTCAGACCTGGGAATCTTGTGGGTGCTTTGCTGGCGGCTACCACCTGATCCCTATTATTGTACACTGTAACAAAAACCATCAATTTCTAATGAGCCAGCAAGACTCTGAATAATATTTCTG